AGAAAGCCACTAGGTTGGTCAGGCAGGACTTGTCCTTGGTGGACATCATCATGTTCAGCCCCTCAGCTCGAAGCAAGGATAACCTCAAAGTTAGGTCAGGCTGCTGTGATGAGCCTTACTTTTCATTAGTGCTCAGGTCTGCAAATTTGCAGTCATCAGGGAGCAAAACTAGCGGAAAGCACTTCAATTATGTTGGCCAAAAAGAAGTTGCAGTCTCTCATGTCTTCCCTCTTGTCTCTTTTCCCTTGTAACCTGCTTTGCCTTACTGTAAACCTCCCTCCCTGCAGCGGGAAGGGCCATGTCTGACATCTGGAGACCAGATCTGGTCTTTTGCATCTCCTGAGCTATCTTCTGAGTACTTATTGGCATGCAAATTCTCCTGTCTCTTGCAGTACAAATAGGCAAACTTGTATGAAAATGTAACAGTAGTTGGGATACTTGGAGTGGATGTGCAAGAATGTGTTGGATTGTGTCCTATAAAAAAGTAGCAGTTATAGAGTGATTGAACATGTTGGTTTCTTCCTTTGTTGAGAGTTTATCTGAATGCCACAATAGGAAATGGTTGCTCTGGTTAGCAAACAGTAAAGACATGCTCCTAACTGGGGAGGGGATTTTATATACTTCTGACCCAAAAGTTGCACCTGGTTTTAACATGAGTGTGGATTTCGTGTTTGGATATATTTGTTATTGCCTTGTAGATAAAACTGGCTTTTGCAAAAACTTGATAAATGCTAGGGTGGCTGTGAGCTGGACCGTTAAACTCAACCAGGCTAAAATACTTTTGGGTTTTTTTTCTCTGTATTTGCTGCTTGATTTTAACCTGATGAGTTCCTTGGCCCAGCTCTTGTGCAGCTGCTTTGTGTCCTGGCATAAGAGAAGTGCCATGGGGACAGGAACAAGCGGCAGAAGAGAGTCGGACTGGCTTCCTTGGCTTGTAGGAGCAGCTTGGTTTATTCTTGCAATCTTGGCTTTGTGTACTGATTGGGATACTACAGAAATAATCTTTCACGCTCTACATGAGTTGAATAGCATTTTAGGAAGTGGCCATATGCTGCTGATATGAGAATGATATTGGTGTTAAAAAACCAAACCTGTTCCCCAGAGATTTCCCTGTGCAGTGCTGCTCTTTGATATCCTCATATTTGTCAAAGGCCTCACACCTGAAAGAGAAGCCCTATGTGGGTTTTTGTAGAAAAGTCTTCTGTGAGGTGTCACATGAAGGGGAAAAATGGGACCTGATGGGAAATGTGGAAATGCCCCAGGAGGAGAAGTGTCTTTTTATCTGATGGGAGCTTTTTTGAAGCATGCTAGATTCTTGCTGCATGTTTTCAGATACTTTTTGGATGGCATTTTACAACTGCAGGTGTCTTGGATTGATAACAGCATGGTATCAGCCCACTGTTAGGTTCTTTCCAGTTTGATTGCTGAAGTGGACCAAATACTTGATGGTGAGGAAAGCCAGATGCTTTCCCCTGGGCTGTTACAGACCATCACTGCTGCTGTGATTTTGGAGAAGGTCATGAAATTACCTATCCACTGTACCACTATGATAGCAGCATAGATAAAATGCGTTATTCCTTAGGGTTTTTTGCTATCCAGCTGCTCTGATCTTGGAAGTATTTTAAAGCCAAACTTGGAAGAGGATCTTGATGATTGAAAGGAAGAAGTTAATCATGCATTCCACTTGATGTGCTTTCTCTTACTGCCATGGGAACCCTTCTAACTTCCCAAGCCTGTTGTAGGTTCTGTGCTTTCCCTGCTAATGGTACTCTCTGTGCTGTGAACAGGAATGCCCCAAATGCCATGTCACCATTGAGAAGGACGGGGGCTGCAATCACATGGTCTGTCGGAACCAGAACTGCAAAGCGGAGTTCTGCTGGGTGTGTCTGGGCCCCTGGGAGCCCCATGGATCTGCCTGGTGAGTTCAGGACCGTGCCTTGCTGGAAGGTGAGGAAGCTGTGATGCAAATGGCATCAATTTGGACTGAAATCTGTGGAATCGGTGTCCCTGTTACAGGTACAACTGTAATCGCTACAATGAGGATGATGCAAAGGCAGCAAGGGATGCACAGGAGGTGAGTCCATAACCTTTGGTGATAAGGGAGATCACTAACCCTGTGGCGTGCTTTCTGTAAACCTATAAATTGGCTCTGAAGAATTTCCTGGATTTGGGCACAGATCCAAAAGACAGCTAAGTTCCTCTGCAGCTTTGGACTCTTGCTTTGTGCCAGGAAAAAAAAAAAAAGTTTAAAAAAAAAAAAGTTCAAAGCCACTGTAACCCAGTTTAAAGAACATGTTAACTCAGTTGTTATCTGTCATGCTGCCTTGCCTGTTTTATAGCAGCTCTTCACATGAAGTCATCATAATGCTATGGGTCTGAGACAACAATCCTCATATCCTTTGTAAAATGCTCTTTACTGCAGAGTTCTTAATGTGAATCCTGAGGTGTTTAAACACAGCAGACCTTTTGAATGTAAATAAAATAGACTGCTGTTGTTTCAATAACTATGCTTGGAGGCTTGACATAGAAGAAATTGCGGGTGAAGTTGAAGCTATGTTAAACTGTTGTGAATATGGATAGGGCCAACCCCCTTTTTAATTGGGAGGAATTGCATGCGATGTGCTGCAGCTTGCAGAAATCAATTTCCTGCATCTCTGTCAAAGTACCGTTATAGCTAAGAACCAAAGTATTTCCCGGAGCCCCTCCTTCTGCAGATAAGGATGACTTTGGCTGATATGTGCTACCTTTGTACAGCCACAGTGTACAAGTTTAACCATGCCTGTGTTGTCAGTTTTTTTCCAGCTGATCTGTCAGTGAGATGAAAATAAGATTAATGGCTGTGTATTGAGTCATCTTGGGTCTCTTGTACTATGTAGCACATGGTGTCTTTGCCCTGCTCTACAATCAGTGTGGCCTGGGCAACCTAAGGTTGCCCTCTTAACACAAGCACAGTAATTGTTTAATTAGAATTCCTTACTAGCCAGGAAAAAAAAAAAAATCTGCTTCTCACTGTTTTTTCATGACACTGGAAGCATTTAAGTCCTGTAACTTCAATTGAGAAGCTGAAATTCAAAACCGACCAGGCTTTAGCAATGTGATTCTAATTACTTTCAGAGTTAGGAGTGAGGATGCCATAGCTGTGCTAGGAAGTCCCCTGCAGGACAGCGAGCTGCTGTGGGTCTGGCCTCTCATCTCCACACAATGTCAGGGTCAACAGTGCCGCACAAAGTGGCGCCATCTAAGTCTGGCCAGTGTGAGAGGAGAGGAAACACCTTCGGAAAGGAAGCTTGTTCTCGGGGTCAGGAAGAGCCCTGTGAAGGATTTACTTCTCTTACAGCCATTACTTTGTTTTAACTATTTGTTTTCTTTTTCCCTAATGGGAATTAACACAGAGATCCAGAGCAGCCCTGCAGAGGTACCTGTTCTACTGCAACCGCTATATGAACCACATGCAGAGCCTGCGCTTTGAGCACAAGCTCTATGCTCAGGTGAAGCAGAAAATGGAGGAGATGCAGCAGCACAACATGTCGTGGATTGAGGTGCAGTTCCTGAAGAAAGCAGTTGACGTCCTCTGCCAGTGTCGTGCCACACTCATGTACACTTACGTCTTTGCCTTCTACCTCAAAAAGAATAATCAGTCCATTATCTTTGAGGTAGGAGAAAACATGATTGTCAGGAGTTCAGATTACAAGCTAAGTGAAATAGAGATTTAATGCTTGGAGAAGCTCTTGTCCCCAGTTTTACCAAAGTGAGTCTGTCTTAATATTCTGTTGTGCAAAAGTTAGAGGCCCTGCTGGGCATCATGTAGCATTGTCTGCTGGAGGAGGAAGTAGAGTTACAAGAAGCTGCCCTCTGAAACAAGAAAGGGAGCGAGGTTCTGTCTTGAGCTGGCAAAGAAGGCATTAAAGCTTAAATCTGGCATTTTGACTTTCCATGGTGTTGGCTTTTTTCCAAGGGCACTACCATTAAAATTGCACTTGAAGGTCTAAACATGGAGGTCCAGTCTGCTTCACAAGTGAAACTGTATCGACTATTTATGATTTAGACAGTCCTTTGCTAGTCTTTGTGCAGAACCTAAGCAGGATGCTCCTGTACTGCATGCTCAGCAAAGAGCACACAGAACTACTGAGCAGTAGTGAAAGCTGTGCTCTGATGCCGCTGTGCACGTACCAGGAGTCAGTAGAGGCTTTGCCAGGGCTGGTTAAAAAACCAACCAACCAAACAAAAAAACCCAAAACCCACAAACAAGGGACAGAATGGGAGATGAATTGTATTGTACCGCACTATACCACTAGTAAGAAAAGGAATTTTTTTTTTAGGCTTGCCAGCATATTGCAGATCAAGGAAGATGCAAGACTTGCTGGTAGATAGGGAGATTCTGTTCTGGTCAAATGAAGAAATTTCAGCTTTTTCAATCTTGATGCTCAAAGCAGGTTACTACTGTTACACAGTGCATATTTAATCCTGCTTTTTATTTCAGTACTGATTTCAGTTGGACTGAAGAAACAAAATCTCTTTGTTCCCCCCTTGCCCCCCCAATACTCCTTTCTTTTTTCTTTTTTTTTCTTTTTTTTTTTTTTTTTAATTTTTGTCTTTGCAGAATAACCAAGCAGACTTAGAGAATGCTACAGAGGTGCTTTCTGGGTACCTTGAGCGAGATATATCCCAAGATTCGCTGCAAGACATAAAGCAGAAAGTACAGGATAAGTACAGGTTTGTTTTTGAATAATCCTCTATCTCAAAGCTGCCCAAGTACTTGTATTGCCATCCCGTGTGACAGGTAGTGGCATGTGTACTTGCCAAGCTACGGTATTCTCCAGAGTCATGTCCCTGGGAAGCTGTTTGCTGTTGGCCTTCTGCCATACAGTGTGATCATCAGCCAGTCCCTGGGCATCTGAGAACAGCAGCAGTGGTGTCCTGTGCCAGCCCCTGAAGCCCTCACACAGATGCTGGCAGCATGTTTTTGTGCCCCTGCTGGGATCAGTCCTTGGGGGAGGTGACAGCCTGCAGGGAGAGGCCCCCAACTCTGCCTTGCATCTGCTCTGCTGAGCAAGTAGCTAGAAGATTCAATCCCATAATCTTGTGACCAAAAACATTGGCTCTTCATACACTGCTGTTCCCGCACAGAAGGAGCATGTGGGAATGGCCAAGACCAAGATGGGACCTGCATAGTGAGGGCCAAAGAACAAGGAGTAACTTTGTTGTTCCAAGCTGACAGCTTTGGCCTACGATTAGTTGCCATAAAAGAGCAATCAGCTCTTATATTTATCTGTTGTGTCCATTTGTGCAAAAAGTGGGTGTAGAAAAGCTGTCCTTAACGAGGAGGGAGACAGCAACCTGCCCAACTGGGGAAGAGAGCAGAAGAACTGGGGTCCAGGTGACACAAATTCCAATGCTTTTTACAGTCCCAGGGGAATTGCTTCTGCACAGTGGAAAAATACAAAGCTGTAAATGCAGATGAGTCACAGGATTATGGCTTGCATTTTTGAGGCATTTTGCCAAAGTCACTGAATTTGTTATGCCTAGCTTAAGGGTGGGGGGGAAGCCAAAGTAGGGTGAGCCGTAATGACTAAGGGACCCTGGGGAGTGGAAGTAACTGTTAAGCTGTTGCGGGCCTGTGGCCCATTCTGCCATAGTCTAGCAGCACACTGGGGCTGGACAAGACTTACCAGACCTTACCTTTTGAGACATTTTGTAACTTACCCTTTAAGACCACCATTAAGTTAGTATCTCAGATCAACCTGCTTGTTCATTTAAGCCCTCTGAAAATGGGATGCTCTTCTAGGGATGGTAACAGCTATCCAGAAGAAATTAAAACCTAATATAGCCTGAATTGTCTGAAAACACAGCATCCCAAACCTGCCTTCATGTTTCTGGGAAGAGAGTATGCATCTGTCAAGCCTGCGCAGGTCCCTATTAACTAGTTCAGTCATGTCTTAATCATGTCCTGCACGGTGCTCTTTGTGTACTGGTTACGGTGTACTGATGCAAGACTGGGACTGAGGAACTTGTTGAGGTGGGTTTAAAGAGCTCTGGGAAACTGCAGGAACTGACCTACTAGCTAATTTGGTTTCAGCTGTTTTGATGTCTTAGCTTGCAAAGACATTTCTAGAAAACAGGATTAAACCCCCACCACCAGCAGCCAAATAACTGAAGCTGGGAAAGCAGAAACTGTGTATGTTTGCTATCACATGCTTCAGAAAATCAGTGGGACTTCATGTACGATGATTTCTGTTGCAACAGCTGATACCAATGAGAAGAGCCAGAACAATTTTATTCAGATAAATCTGTTGGTCTGATCAGATACTGAATGGTAGCAGCATAAGGCCTGTGGGTTAAGGTGAGGTGTTTCTGAGTTCAGGCTGCTGTGATGTACTCATTGTGCCTATGTGTTAGCAAGTGTTGTGATCAAGGGTAGCTTTCTGCTGGGAGATACCTCCTGTGCACCTCACTTGAGTGAGCAGGGGGATGTTTGGCCATTGCTGAGAAAACCGGGTTCCCAGCTGTGAGAGCCCATTGGATGCTGTCCTGGCTGATGTGCATGCCTGGAAACTGCACCGCACAATTCCCAGCAGGAACTGGCAACTCGGCAGTCAGCTTCTGGGTTCTAGTTTCTCACGTTGCAGCACA